CGGGAAGGGAGCCGGACGCCACCGAACAGAGGCAAAAACAGTGAGGGGCCCCCGTACCAAAAAAAAAAAAAAAAAAAAAAAGATGATCTTTGTCCCTTGTCGTACTGGAGCGGTCCCTGGTCATCATTCCATGACAACGAGGCTAAACTGAAGTACTATTGCACTGTGACAGTTTTCAATTCTGAACACTCTCAGTCAACTGAAAGAAAGGTAGGTTACTAAGGCTGATGAGCCCCATTGAGCCAAATACAGACCACAGAACAGTGCTTCTCCACCTCCCTAGGCAGACGTCACATGGAAAAGGGAACCCTCTTGGTAGGGTGTCACCATGCTGTTTATTCTCCATCAAGCTGAAGCTTTACTTTTCTTTCTTTCAGACCTTCTTGATTAGGATTTGCTTCTTATGGCCTTTAAAATTTGTGCTATATTTCAAAGTTGCCTGAAAAATTATTTCTGTGTATAGATATCAGAAAATCAGAGTAACCTAATTTACTAAACTGAGATTCAACTTCAGACATGTGACCTTTACACAAACTGCATGAAATTCTCAAATAAAATTAATTTTAATTTGTGTATCTGCAACATAAGGGTAGATCATGAGTATTATAAATCAAACCCAACGCGAGCGTCACAACTGCCAAAAGGATAGAAATAATTGATTTACGTCGGCATGGCTTAGCTGCTGCTGCTGATTCAGAAATCCCTTTGATTGCCTCTCAAGGATCTGTAGGAGTTGTGATCATTTTAACCGGTGTTGGATCAAATATGAATAGATATGGTGCAATTTAGTATCATAATAGGATGTCAGTAACATATGCTCATTATAAATTGAGTATATTGTCAATTTAATTACACCCATTTCACGTTTTCCTTAGGTGGCAAAGAAACTAGGTTATCATTTTATACGTTTTATGTACTAATAATATAAAGTCTCAAATATCAAGATGTCTGTTCATATGATTTATATTTTTATTTCCACAATGCCTTTCCCACAGCTCTCATGTCACTAGGTTCACGAATACCTCTAGTGGCGTGTGGAAGGTAGGGAGGATAGCCCTTTTTTACAGCCAAGTAAACTTCAGTGTTTAGGAACAGCTTCAAGATCAATTAACTGTAAAGTGAGTGACCTGAGTCTTTGGATTCTTAGCCTAGAGCCCTAACCCCGCACCATCCCATTTTCATTAGCCCTTGTGTAGTCTTTTTCAGATTTGTGGAGTGCTAGTAGTTGTAGGATAAATACAGATATTTTGCAGGAGGGTTAATTCAATAGCAGTAAACAGAGATGGCAGTGTTCTTTTGTTTGAGATATCTAACTAATGCATTTCTGTAGATGTCTTACTGATGTCCTCTTGGAAACTTGCGTTAAATCCAGAAATGCATCAACACATGCTTTTTTTTTTTGTGGTACGCGGGCCTCTCACTGTTGTGGCCTCTCCCGTTGCGGAGCACAGGCTCCGGACGCGCAGGCTCAGCGGCCATGGCTCACGGGCCCAGCCGCTCCGCGGCATGTGGGATCCTCCCGGACCGGGGCACGAACCCATGTCCCCTGCATCGGCAGGCGGACCCTCAACCACTGCGCCACCAGGGAAGCCCAACACGTGCTTTTTAAAGATAGAAAAATCTTCACAAACATAACGTTAAATGAAAGAAATAAGTCACGAAACAGAAAATACAATATAATTTCCCTTAGAGAAAATTCAATTACAGGCAAATGAAGCTGGGGTGTTAGGAGTCAGGATAGCAGTTACCCTTTTGGGGGACTGTGCGGTTGAGGGGTGCTGAATTGACCTGGGTGCTAGTATTCTAGGAATTCCCTTGGGAAGGTTTATTGACTTTTCATTTTTAAGGAAAACCTGTCTTAACTGCCTTAGGTGGTAGTTAGTTTAAATGCTTTTGACTTGAAGAGCAGTCCTTAAGCGTTTATTTTGATTATAACCTGCCATTTCCCAACAAAAGTCAATTACCCTTTTTTGTTGTTATCGTTGCTGCTGTTCCTGAAACCGTCACATTTCTTTTGAGTTCTTGGTGTTTTCTTGTCATAGAACCAGCTGCTGGAGCCATGGTGAAGTTCATCATAAAATGCTTGCCAAAACAACTTTCTTGCTTACACTTTTTAAGATGTTACAGGAAGAAGGGTATTGACGAGGGCTCCCCAGTTAGCATGTTAATCTGTATAAAAACAGACACTGCTAGAAATATTTTCACGGGACTTTGATAAGGCTCCAAGCAGAGCTTCAGTCAGCTTCTTATAATTTAACAATTTCACACTGATTTTTTTTTCCCCATATAAATGGTTTCCGAAGAGCACAGATAGTTGTGCAACAAAAGCTCTATCATTTTCAAACTGTTCTTTGAGGTCAGAGCCTAAAGGAAATGAGATTGAGGCTTAAAAAATTTTGTGGGTCAGCAAAACCTTTTGCAGTCCTCATGGCTTAGAGACTAAGGCCTCTGCAAATCATATATATTATGGGTCATACTCAAGGTGATGAACACTTCTCTTGCAAACCGTTGCTTCTGTCCCTAAATGTGACCAGTTTTTTTTTTTTTATGGCTTGCTTCAAATCAGTTTAAAAAAATTTTTTAAAGAAATGTATTTTTAAATGTTTCTGCCAGCATTTACACATACTATGGCTTCCTCTCACTTTTTTCCCCTGCAGTGTTCTATCTCTTTGTCGGAAGAGGAAAGACTTTCTACCAGGAGACCTAAAACGCCAACCTCAAGTGACTTCTCTGACTTTAATACTCAAACCAACTGGAACAAATCACTTCCCTTGCCAACACCGGAAGAGAAGATGCGACAGCAGGCCCAAACAGTCCAGGCTGATGTAGTTCCTATTAACATAACTGGTATGCTTTGCTCTGCAGACAGGTTCCAAATGTTCTGGGAGAATGACTATGGCTCTTTGTTTGTTATATGCTCTTAGCATGTCATTTATACATCACAGGTAAATAGCTGTGGTCTGACTTCCTGCTCTTTGTTTAATGAAGGGAATACTAAAACATATATATGTGTGTGCATGTCAAATATATATTGCTTTTAGATTAGAAGACTCTATGTCATCAAAGGTTGATGTCAAAGAACTCAGTGGTCCAGCCATTCAGCTGAAGTGTTTCTTTTAATTGATTTGCCTTCTAAAAATATTTTGGCCATATGGGAATATCTTCCAAATGTGATCTTGGGTAAGAAAAAATTAGGTTTACCTTCTGAAGGGCTATTTTAATTGATTTTTAGAAGTGAAGATATAACACTTTAGTGATATCTCTGAATGATTTGCTTACCTTCTTGTTTTCTCAAGTAGAAAAAGAGAAAAATTACTTGAAATAAAAATATCAAGTGAATTAATAATAACTATAAATATATTTTTTTAAAAACTTAATAGGGTGGTAAAATTATATCTTGAGCTCCATAATTTGAATTCTATAACCGTCAAATAAAAATCCATTCCTTCTGAATTTAAAAATATCATCTATGATAATTAAAGTGACAACAAGGTACATAAAGTTCAAAGACAGTATTTCACAAATGTAGAAGAACTGTTAAAAGATATCAAAACTTTTGTACTTTATCACTTCCATAGCCTGCAGAGAAGCTAGGTCAGTGGTTTGGGGAGTGTACAAAATGCAAAACAGACACGTTAAGAGTTAGTAGCTTCAGCCATTAGACTATGTGTTCAAGAGAAATAGTTTACTGATAGTTATATTGATAATCAGTCCATACAAAGCCTGGCTTATAGGGCCAGAACCTAAAAAAAATCGGGTGACCAATAAGGATAAGTTTTCATAAAAAATTAGGATGAAAACCCATAGCACCCTTGCTATGTTTCTGAGGCAACTGCTCTTGACTACTTAGAAAGCTTTTTGCCATGGCATTGGTGGGACTAAAAACATTTTGTAAGGGACTAAAAACATTCTGTAAGGAACTGAAAACATTTTGATAGTTACTGATGAATTTTTTAAAACCTTACAGGATGTTTAAAAATTACATTTAAAACTCTATTTTGAATTCCAGAGAAATTTAATAAATAAGTACCTGAATTATTTTAAATTCCATGTGCATTTTTCCATATTTACTATACTTAAGCCTTAAAGGAATAGCATGGCATTTCATTCCATTTTCTATAAAAATAACATTGATTTTTTTCTGAGCGTGATTCTCATTTACCTAGATCATATTTTATTTTTATTTTTATTTTTTTTGCGGTACGCGGGCCTCTCACTGCTGTGGCCCCTCCCATTGCGGAGCACAGGCTCCAGACGCACAGGCCCAGCGGCCATGGCTCACGGGCCCAGCCACTCCGCGGCACGCGGGATCCCCCCGGACCGGGGCACGAACCCGCGTCCCCTGCATCGGCAGGCTGACTCTCAACCACCGCGCCACCAGGGAAGCCCTAGATCATATATTTTAAAGATATTTTTATACGTAGTTACGTTTCAGAGCAAAGTACAATGTTTATTGCTCAATGAAATACATGGTGCATATTTTCTACAAGATAATGCATTACATTATTTGATTGATTAAATGCAGCAGAAATGTAATTACATTATATATGATTAAATGCCTCAGAAATAATATTATAAGATAAGATTGTGCTATGAAATGTGACAGTCCTTAATGGAATTAGGGTAAAATGCATTATCGTGAAATTAGGAAATTTAAAACAGAGTAACTAGAGTTTCAGGAATAAAGAATAATTTGCAGTGAAATACATTGTCACAACAGCAGACACTGTCAGTCTCTTTGAACTTAATTCTCTCCTGTGTGACGACTAAGTGGATATGAATTACATAGAGTTTAAAAGGAGGGCTTGAAAATGCCACACAGGAAAGGTGAATGACAATAAACAAATGAGCAGTATGAGTTAGGAAAAACTGCAGTTTAATTCTGAGTGGTTAACGTTTTTGGAAATGTAGAAAGCAAATACCTAATTATGTATTTATTGATCCATTTTCTAGATCCATGTGTTCACATATACACACATATTTGATAAAGAAGTAGTTTTTCTAATATTCTGGTATAAATAAGCATTAAATTTTAAATGTTTACTTTTAGTGGTTGAATTGACATAGGTTATACAACTTCCTGCTCTTTAAACGATATATTTCTAAAGCCCTAGAAGACGTTTGAAATAAAAATGTAGCTTCCTGTAGGGCATTGTCATGTGTTCATTTTTTTGGATGAACATTGACCTTCTATTTGGTTTGCAGTACAGTTCAGCAGAGGGAAGAATGCCAATAAATATATTATTTCAAACCCAGAGAGATGCTCGCCAGGCATAGAGGTAGAACATTAGCACAGTGATCTGCTGGCTTGAAAATCAATTTAATCCCTTTAGTCATAGTCCTGTGGGACTCGTCATGTTCTAAGAGTTGAGAAAAAAATGTTTAAGATAAAATGTACATATGAGTATGTCCCATAGTCGGCCATGTGGGATAACAACTCTTCCACCTGGAAGATAAATAGCGTGGGTAAACATACTTAAGCACTTCTTACAAACTGCCTTTGTACTGATGTTCGAGCTAGCTAAATTGATTTCTAAGTAGTAACCATAACCAACTAATGCCATTTTTCAATGAAAGGGAATAATTAAATTCCTCTCAATTCAGTAGATATTTACTGAATAACTGCTTTGTATCAGGCATTGAGCTGAATGCCACAGGCGATGCTACAGTACATGATTACGGACCCTACCCTCCAGAAATGTATAATCCAGTGGGGGAGACAGTCCTTTTAGGTCACGATTCAAGATGGAGTGTCGGCACCAGTAATGGTGTATGTCTTAGATGTTCATCTTCATGATTTGTTTCTTAATTTCTTTGGAGCTTGGGTGGTTTATCTTTGTTTTAGTTTAGGATGCAAAACTGGAGACTAAATGCAGCTATCTGTTAATGTTCTGTCCATTCTTAATGGCTTGATCCAAGAAAATGTTTTTCCTCTGCTTCAGGGAACTAGTGGACCAGTGAACTCCTGACTTGTCCCTTACAAGCGCCATGTATGCTATTGTACATAGTGACCCATTTATCACAGTGATGGTACCTTCCAGCGTTTCAGGGTCTTCTCTAAGTCATTTCTGTTTTTCTCCATTTAGGAACAGAAGTGTGAGCATTTTCAAGTTTGCAAGCGCTTATCTAAGTTTGTTGCTTTGTAGGTGAAATGTGTTTTGATCATTCAGATCTTTTATCCTCTGTTTTGACTAGAACCTTATTGGTTCTATTCACAATTTATTCCCATTAAAATAGAAGATACATTGTTTACAACATACTCACTTTGAATGTGCGTCAATATTGCTAAAAAGAGTGAATAATTTTTATACTTTTCTTAAAACATAAAAGTATGTATTTTGTGTATGTATTTTTTTTAAATCTCTTTGAGAAGAACAATTTAACAAGGTCAATACTATAAAACTTTCTTTAATTAAACTGATAAATTTAAAGCAGACCAATCAATAACTGATACGTTACTATTTTATGGTTTCCCATGATGTGTTAATCACACAGCTTACACGCTAGAAAGAAAAAGAGTCCTGTGGATGTGGCATTCTGGGTTTGGTTTCAACATAACTGAAATGAGTTTAGATCAGCTTTAAAAAGTGATTAAGAAACGGCAAGAAGCAGTTCAGCTTTAACAACATCAGTGCTTCTGGGTCTCATTGTGATAAAAGTACTTTATCATTATAAGGCTTTTTCTTTTCCATTATCATTGTATCTCACACCATAGCAATTACCACAGTCTATCCAAATTATCAGCCTCCTTGATGGAAGAAAAAGCTCTTCATCCAAAATTCTTGATTTGTTTCATCACATAGGACAAGACATTACATTGGTCTCTGGAGAGGACCAGATGAGTCAAACATATTCATCGCTGGCACCGCATACACACTGATGTTAAGCGTGATTTCAGTGACCAGAAGACCTTTGTAAAGTACTTCCAAAATGATACGTTTTTTAAAGAACACAAAATCACTTTTCCAGTGTGTTATTCACCAGTTTGTATTTGCCACTCCAGCTCATTTGCAAATGAGCTCAAGGTGCTTCCTTCGGAAGGACACACACATGGAAGTTGGAAAATAGCCTTATGGTGCTAATGCGCTTGCCTTCCTTTTTTGCCCTTCAGCATTCATTCATCATCGTATGACTGGCTAACATTATTAATACCTTCTTATCATTTTACAACAAGCTCCTGGAAGAAAGTGCATGGTGTCGGCTTGCTTGAAAATAACCTTGCTTTGCTTGTTCTACTGCTCTACATTAGGGGAGAATTTCGATCGCCAGGCCAGCCTTCGGCGGTCTCTAATTTACACAGACACTCTGGTAAGACGACCGAAGAAAGTCAAAAGGAGAAAGACTATTACAGGAGTCCCTGACAGCATACAGAAGGAGCTAGGTATGGCTCATCAGAACTGTATTCTGTTGCCCCTCATTGCTACTCACCATTACTGCGCTAACCTCATCGGTGGTGCTTATGAAATCGATACATTCTGATAGCCTTTTGGTGCCCCAAAGGGTCAGCTTCTTTCCTGAAGGAAGCACTGGGTACAAATCTTAACATCCCACGTAGATGATGTTTTCAGCTTTGTTGAGAAGGTAAGAGGAAGAGCCTATATGAAGACTATTAATTGGGATGATAGAAATTTAAGTTATGTCATCATCTCTATGTGCCTTGAACAGTGGGCATTCCCACAATAAAATTTACTTTCAATTTAGAGCTTAAGTCTTCATGAAACCAAAAACTTATTCTGGGACTTCAAATTATGAATAGAGACTTCATTAGTTGTACCGACAATATCGGTGGCATTTTGTCATCAGAGACAGCAGTATAGCATAATTAGTAAATACCAGTACAGTAGAAAATAGTCACTTATGTGGGCTGGTGCTTTATGGGTACTTCGGTGAAACAATTTCTTAGCTTTTTGATTCAGTATTTTTCAACCTTTGATAAAAAAAAGAAAACGAAAAATACTTTCGGCTGGTGGAGAGGGTGATTTACTTCATTATTCGCTCATACATTTTGTTTCTGCTTCTCTTTATATATGCTTTGGATAATCCTTTCCTTCTTTTCTTTCTATATTCACTTCCTCTCCCTGTTTTTTCATGGCCCATCAGGAATGTCTGCCGAGATAGCAGGGCTAAGAGCAGGGGCTCTGGTGCCAGGCTGCTTGGATTTAAATCCTATCTCTGCCAGTTACTTGCTGGGTGGCCTCAAGCTGGTTACTTCACCTCTCTGAGTCTACTTTTTCATTCAAAAAATGTGGCTGGTGATGTTACTAGAACCTACCTCATAGGGTTGTTTGAGGATTTAATGAATTTATACAGATGAAGCACTTGGTGCCTGGTACTACTATAAACATAATAGCTACAATTACAATTATTGTATTCAACTAAATACTACCTATCTTGAAACTTCCCTTTTTCTGTTTGGCCAACCTGTGGACTTCTTTCCTTGTAATTACTTCACCTGGTCTTTTTACTTTTATTTGCTATTGAGGGCTATACTCTAGAAACTCCTAATCATTATTTCTGAACTTGCCTATTAGTCTTTGAATCAAAATGAGTTTATCCTAGCAATATTGGTATATGTTATAGCAGTTTGAGGTAGCATTTCAGCCTCCAGGTGCCACAGACATACTCTTGTGTGTTTTTTCCTAACACCCTTGCCTAAATGCTTTGTATTAGGGAAGGAAGTCTCACTCTTCTGCACCCCGCGTCTTCTCTCTTACTGCCATCCAATTCTACAGCATGTGGCCTCTGCCTTCCAGACTGTAACAGCAATGGGGCAAGAGTAGCGATGCTTCTCCTCTGCTCTAGGTAGCTCCAGTAACCCCGATGACATACGGGTGCTCATCTTATCCCATAACACAGGAGTTTAATCACAAACAGAGGCAAGATTGCATCCACAGGATTTATGAAAGTTGCTTCTGGTTCATGCCCTCACATCTGCCTTCTTTAGTGGGCCAGGGCTCCTGTATCCCATTCTTTCAGGCTCTATTTTTCTCTCTCCTTTAGATAACAGCTAACTCATTTGAGAAAAAATAATATGTACTAGTATGTTCAGCAGATATTAATGGGCTAAGTTTTTACAGAACTCAGGTAATATTTATATTTTAACTGATCTTCTAGGAGATGAGCCTTAACCTAAAAAAGTGACTTTAAAGACAGCTCTTTGCAAGATAACAAGGTTGATGTTTCCAGGTAGGCTACATTTTGAGTGGCTTTCCAACCAATATGGGTAGGTTTTGGATGGCTTTGTGCAGAGTATAAGAATAGTTTGGCCTGAATAAAGATAGACATACACATAAGTATTCAATACGAATTATCTATCCATCTATCCATCCATCTATCTATCTATCTATCTATCTATCTATCTATCTATCTATCTATCTATATTTCCAGAGCCTCAGAGTTAAGAACTTTTATCACTTTTATTACTGAACCAACCAGTACGGAGCCAGTAACTCAGTTGCCTCTTTGACGTTACTGGAAGGATCTGATCAGCTAGGTAAATCATATCTTCTGTAATTTTAATATTTTTAAAATCAATGATAGAGTCTCTAGGGTCTGCATTCATTTCTCTTTTGCCCGTAACATAGGAACACCACTAATCCTAGGGGAAAGGCAATAGCTTTCCCTACATCATCTGTGTTGTGAGTGTTACCAGATGTGAGACAGTTGATGTCATTGCAGTTGATGACATGTCCTGGATCACCGCTGGAGGTCAACTGAGACAGCTGTATCTAAGTTAGAGCTAGTTTTTTTAAAACAAGACAATTAGACAACCACTCTAGTTTTTTGTTTTTTGTTTTTTGTTTTTTTGCGGTACGCGGGCCTCTCACTGTTGTGGCCTCTCCCGTTGCAGAGCACAAGCTCCAGACGTGCAGGTTCAGCGGCCATGGCCCACGGGCCCAGCCACTCCCGGACCGGGGCATGAACCCGCGTCCCCTGCATCGGCAGGTGGACTCTCAACCACTGCGCCACCAGGGAAGCCCCCACTCTAGTTTTATAGATAGGGTAGTTGGAAGGATTCGTGGGTAGAGTAAGGGAAAGTAACATTTGAATACAGTAACATATAGCAAAAAAATTAGATCTTTTCTTCGTTCATTTGGACAAAGGTTGACCTTGCCCTTTCTTCTAATATTTTGTACTTATAAGGTGTCTGATTGGAAAGCTTTGTGCTACCTAACTAATGATTATCAAAAATAGACACTTCATGTTTTCTTTAAAAATTAGTCGTCCTGGGCTTCCCTGGTGGCGCAGGGGTTGAGAGTCCGCCTGCCGATGCAGGGGACTCGGGTTCGTGCCCCGGTTCGGGAGGATACCACATGCCGCGGAGCGGCTGGGCCCGTGAGCCATGGCCGATGAGCCTGCGCGTCCGGAGCCTGTGCTCCGCAATGGGAGAGGCCACAACAGGGGGAGGCCCGCGTACCGCGTAGGGAAGGATGGCTGAGTCAAACAAGTTAGATTTTTAAAGGATACGATTATCTGAAAGAAAGACATTTAATAGGAAAGATACAACCTGTCCACTAAACACTGCCCAAGTTGTTGGGACTTTGGTTTTTTTTTTTTTTTTTTTTTTTTTTGGCGCTACGCGGGCCTCTCACTGTCGTGGCCCCTCCCGCTGCAGAGCGCAGGCTCCGGACGCACAGGCGCAGCGGCCATGGCTCACGGGCCCAGCCGCTCTGGGGCACGTGAGATCTTCCCGGACCGGGGCACGAACCCGTGTTCCCTGCATCGGCAGGCGGACTCTCAACCACTGCGCCACCAGGGAAGCCCGGGACTTTGGATTTTTAAAATCTAACCAGGGATGCTCCCGGAAGTAGAGTTAATTGTGCTTAATTATATGCATCTTTTACTTCAAAATCTTTAGTGGCCTCGAGAGACCAGTCAATATATAAAGCTTTAAAATCAAGGTATGATATTTTCTGTTTAAAGCATATTGATGGTATATAATGTGTTGCCTTCCGTTTAAATAAAAGGCCAAAATTTCTAACTCTTTCTTTACTCTCATCTTAAACGTACATAGAATTGTATTTGAATGACCTGTTATGAGGGTTCCTCTTTTAGAAGCAGATAAGATTATTTTGTTGGTATATAATGGTTGTTTGGCTGCTGAATCATGTGGGTACTCCTGGAACTTACCCCAAGGTGGATTCCCCAAGCAGAAAAGGCCTTGTTTAAAGGAATCCCCTCTGAATAATTTTTGCTGGTTTGTACTAAGAACATTACTTTAGACCTGACAATACATTAAACCTTAAGTAAAACTAACTTGTAGATGTCTATCATTTTTGATTACATGTGTTTTTTAAAAATTGGGCAGTCCTTGCAGTATTATATAATAAGTAAAAGAAAAAATATGTGTAATTATTTTAAAATCAGGTAAATCCCATCAAGATTTTTAGCAGCACCTGAGCCGACTATATTTGTTTGTAGTCCTATTTTTGTAATTTTTGCTGTTTAATGAAGATAGCATTCATCTGTGTCCTGTAATATTGTCACACTTTTTTTGTACTGTGAAAATTTTGGAGGATCTGTCTTGGGAATAGAATTTTGGTGGTCCCTGTGATAAATAATATCAGAGTTGTTTTATATGTATATTTTAGAGGTCTTTAGAAAAGCATTGGTTTTTTTTGTTTTGTTTTGTTTTTTTGGCGGTACGCGGGCCTCTCACTGTTGTGGCCTCTCCTGTTGCGGAGCACAGGCTCCAGACGCGCAGGCTCAGCGGCCATGGCTCACGGGCCCAGCCGCTCCGCGGCATGTGGGATCTTCCCAGACCGGGGCACGAACCCATGTCCCCTGCATCAGCAGGCGGACTCTCAACCACTGTGCCGCCAGGGAAGCCCAAAGCATTGTTATTTTAATTAAAAAATAGTATTGAGCTCTAGGTGGTAAAGAAATGGCTGTAGTCCCATTTTCAGAAGCCTAGAATGGTTTCACATGCAAAATTGTTACCTGAAAGAATCAAGACTTTGTTTATGGCCCTTAAAGACATTTAAAAATCTATCACTGACCTCATGTAAAAATTACTACAAATTTGAAAGAAAAAGATATTAACATAATAAGGTATGCTGAATGTTTGGAATTGAACTGGTGCAAACTGATACAGAGCTACAAGTCAACCCCCCACCTTCTAAAATACTAAACTGCAAAAACTTGCACCTTTTTTCTTTCCTTAAAGTGGGTTTTTCTTCTGTTCCTGCCCTTTTGCCCACTTCCCCTCTTTCTGAGGCAGAACGTCACATGTGCACGTGAGTGTGTGTGTGCAGTAAGTATACTTGGCAGAGGGTAGGAGGAGGAAATAGATCTTCTTTGCCAAAGATACAGGTACAAACATGATTCTCCATCATCACAGTGAAGGAAAGAGCTTTATGCTGGGAGCCTTCGTTGCAGGGTAACATCTCCTGTGCATTTGATACAAGACCACTGCTGCCATTTTAGCATTATGCTTTGCTCCTTGGATGAGCTGTGCTATCCAGTCAGGGACATGTGCCATATGATGGTTAATTTAAGTGGGGTAGGGAGGGAGATCTCAGGAATCCCATCATCACCAGTGTCCCTGTCCAGGTAAACAGGGATGCCAGTTGCTCCTTGTTGGATGATAACAACATAGAAAGAATTATGGTTTTGCTATTATTTTTCAAGATTTAATTTGTCCTAAAAGATTACTCTGCATGGATTGATTTTTTTTTCTATTTATACTTTGAGTAAGTTCTTGGCTTCATGATTTTTTTTTTTTTAAGCTTTTCTTCTTTCCTAGGTAGCTTGAAACCTTTACCTACACTTCAGGATTTTTCTCATCCATTTTCCTCCCTCTCTGTAAATGCTGCCTCGTGCTGCTGCTGCTTCTTTTCTTTTTAAACATACTATTCTTTCTGTTTGGTTGTAAAGCTCCAAGAAATGAATAATCCTAATCTGAGGAAGTGTTCACTGGATCTGTTCCTGCTGCTTTTTCCCCACCAGAACACAGCAGATTGCTGCTGAATTTTGAATGTCATCCGCAGACAGATGATAATGGCTTAAGGTGGATAGAAGAGCATTGTTATTCATGGATAATGAAATGTTTGAAACACAGATGGGCCTGTAAATCATTTTTCTTTTTCTTAGGATTTCCTTCTGACATAAAAAAATTAATGTAATTAACAATGTTTTATACCAATATCCCTCATAAATGGTATCTCTGTAGCCCTGTTGTTGAACTGCTACATTCATCTGTCTTTGGAAAAGACAGTCACTGCTTGATGGCTGTTCTGTGCAATGACCAGGTGGGTGAAAGGCTACCTTTACGAAAAGGAGGTTATGTGAAAAGTAAACCTTCCAAGAAGCACTCAGCTTTGATCTCAAAGGCAGTACCTGAGAATCCTATATGCAGCACTTAATCTATAGGAGGATTTGAAGTATATATTAAGAGAAGTACCCAAAATTCATAATAAGGATTTTCATTTTAGGGGCTATCAGTAACTGTCAATACTTAAACCTTCTCTTAGGTGCTTACAGGAAAAAAGAAACCAGACCAAATAGAAAAGGTTTTTTTTCTTTTAAGTACAACAGAACAGAGTCAGAAGAGGGTGAGAGATCAAGGTAATGAACTAAGATACTGATTTTCATTTTTAGGTGACAAGCCTCTTTCTGCTTTATCTCCAGCTTCGGGGGGCACTGGCCAAGATGATGTCGGTGGCCACTCAGTGGACGCCCCAGACCACTGCTCTACGCTTGGAAGGCTCGATGGCCATCGATCTGCTGGGCAGCGCTCAGAAACCAGGGATTCCAGCTGTCAGACCGAGGAAGTGAAAATCGTACCACCTTCGATGAGAAGAATCAGGGCGCAGAAGGGGCAAGGCATTGCTGCCCAGATGAGTCACTTCCCAGGCTCCTCTGGGAACATGTCTGTGCTGAGCGACTCTGTGGGTGTCGTGTTCCCTTCTCGTCTCAACAGTGACACTGGTTTCCACAGTCTCCCCCGGTCTGGAGCGAGGACAAACGTTCAGTCCCTGGAGCCACGGCTGGGTGCCCTGCGCCCTGCAGAAGACGCAGACGAAACTCTCGCCTACCAGGGGCCCAAATCCCAGGAGCTGGGGTACTTGGAGGGTGAAAACGTAACAAGCCCGGCATGCGTAGTCTCTCCTCACACGACCTACTCCACCAGTATCATCCCAAATGCCACACTCTCCTCCTCTTCAGAGGTTATTGTGATTCACACTGCTCAGAGCTTAGGGCAGCTGGACAGTAAAATTACCAGTTCATCTTCATACACAAAGATCAAATCCAGAGACCACTTCCTCTCCAGGCAGAAAGATGGTCATCATTCTCCCTGTGGTAACTGGACTGAGGGGCACCCCACCATTTTTTCACAGGCCTCAGATCCTCATTCGTCCAGTGCAACCACTGTGCTGTCCCTGTGTGATTCTGCGGTCTCTCTAAATACGCCCGCAAATCGGGAGAATGGGTCCCAGGCCATGGCCTATAATTGTAGAAACCACCTGAGCTTCCCGGCCCACCCCCGGGATCTGAACAGCAAGACTGAGTCCAGTCATTCAGGAGGCAGGGGACACGGCGGCAGCGCGGAGCCCTGGGAATACAGTGCCCCGGCTAGTGGGCGTGCGTCCCCACGGAAGCCACATTTGGCAACTCCTGTAGGTAACATGAGCCGTGGCAGTTTGGACCAGACGTCCGACAAAGATGATGCCAGGGCCGTGTATCCAGAGGACCACGATGGCTACTACACTTCTCTGCACACCAGCTCTGGACACGGACCTGGGAATGTGTGCAATAGCAGCGATGGCTTTGGGAACCCGAGGCACAGCGTGGTCAGTATTTTTGATGGAAGAGCGCGGAAGAACCAAGGGGACCGGTCGAATTGCCAAGACAAAAACCTTTCTCGAAACATCTCTCTGAAGAAAGCGAAGAAGCCTCCCCTGCCACCCTCTCGGACAGACTCTCTGCGCAGGATTCCCAAGAAGAGCGTCCAGTCGAACGGGCAGGTGCTGAACGAGAGCCTGATCGCCTCGCTCCAGCACTCGCTGCAGCTGAAACTCCCGGGCAAGGGCGGCAGCTCGCCCTCCCAGAGCCCGTGCAGTGACTTCGAAGAGCCCTGGCTGCCTCGCTCCCGCAGCCAGAGCACAGTGAGCGCGGGCAGCAGCCTGACCTCCGCCACCACCCCCAACGTCTACGCCCTGTCCGGGGTCACACCGGCACAGAGCGACACGAGCAGCGTCAAGTCCGAGTACACAGACCCGTGGGGTTACTACATTGACTACACGAGCGTGCAGGAGGACCCGGGGAACCCAGGCGGGGCGGGTCCAGCCGGCAGCGCCGCGTCGCCCGGAAACGGGCCAGGCCGCCATCTCCCGGACGGGTCCAGGGCCGCGGTAGCCCCGGTGCCCGATGGCGCGGTCAAACCAAAGATCACATCGCCGGAGAAGTCACACAGGGTCACTTCTCCATCCAGTGGGTATTCCAGCCAGTCGAACACACCCACGACTCTCACCCCTGTGCCTGTGTTTTTAAAGTCAGTGTCACCAGCCAATGGGAGGGGGAAGCCCAAGCCCAAGGTGCCAGAAAGGAAGTCCTCTCTGGTATCTTCAGTATCCATCTCCTCCTCGTCCACGTCTCTTTCCTCCAGCACTTCTACGGAAGGAAGCGGAACCATGAAGAGGCTAGATTCGGTGCTGGCCGCTCCCCTTGCTGCGCCTCCTCTGCCCTCTCTCCCATCTCCCTGTCCCAGGGACAAGTCTCCTTTCCTCCCTCCTCCCCCTCCACCGGCAGATTTCCCCGAGGGCTCGCCTCTGCCGGACTCTCCCCTCTTCCCCACTCCACCGCCAGAAGTTCTCACGCCCTTCTGTCCCCCCACCAGCGCCTTCTTTCCTCCGACACCTACAGCACTCAGCCCCCGTCTTCTGCACTCATCTGCCTCCCTGCCACCTCCACCACCTGCCTTCCCCCCCTCGGTGCCCCCGCCTGCCCCACCGCTTGACCCCAAATTGATGAAAGATGCCAGGCCTTCTTTCAAAAAAGCTGGCCAGCCAGAGCCCTCCCGGGAGGCCTGCAGGCAGCCTTCCACCAAGGAGGAGGGCGGTAGACCCCCCATGCCCCTGATCACCACGGAGGCGTTGCAGATGGTGCACTTGAGGCCGGTGAGGAAGAACTCAGGAACCGACGTAGCACAGTTACGTGAACATGCAGCTCAGGAAAAACGAACTCCGGTTGTTCCCCAGTATCATGTAAAGCCATCTGCTCTCCTGAAATCCCGAAATAGCATAAATGAAATGGAGAGTGAAAGCCAGCCTGCCTCCGCGACAAGCTCGCTCCCGACTCCTGCCAAGAGCTCGACTCAGGGTCACCAGGACAGTGTAAACGAGCGTGGCCTCCCGAGCCGCAGCCCGGGCCGTGCCGGGGAGGCAGAGGCCGAACCCGGGACCGCCCCGCCCCATGACCCCCCCAGCCCGTCGCCCAGCAGGAAGCCCCCCCCTGTTTCCAAGAAGCCCAAACTGTTCCTGGTGGTGCCACCTCCGCAAAGAGATTTCACGGCGGAGCCCGCAGAGAACGTGAGCAAAGCGTCGCCCAGCCCCATGAGAGGAGAGGCACGAGAGGGGTGTGCAGCCGGGGCTGGTTCCGATGAGACCGACTCTGGCAGCTCGGTTCTTGCGGGAGGAGCTTCAGGACCTGAGTCCCCGGGCAGAGTGGAAGCCAATGTCCCCATGGTGCAGCCCGATGCTTCGCCAGCCCGCTCGCGGGAGGAGCCGGGCGCCGAGCGCTGTGCGGACGCCGGGGACAACGTGGAGAGCCGTTTGTCTCTGCAGGACCCAGGGCGTGAGTCTGGTTTTCTCTTGTTCCCCTTTGACCATATGCAGCTGAGGCGAACAGGGCTGGTGCACGTTCACGTTCAAGCCAGCAGTATGTGGACTCCCTGCGCTGCCTCGTACTTAGGTTACCAACTTGGCATTTCTATGAAAAAAAAAAATTTTTTTTTAACCTAGATCTAAGGGTAGAGCTTACAGAAGCGCAGAAAATAGAGGGGGTGGAGTGGTCGGCAGCAGGCTGGGTATTAAATAGCAGTGAGTAATCCCCTGGAGAGCTGCAAAGAAATGTTCTAACAAAATTTAAGGGAGATTCAGTCAGTTTATCTAGACTTTAACAGAAAAGCCTGAGCTGTGACTGTCATGCTTGTGTCATTTTCCCCATCTTTGTAAAATATCAAACTACAGGCCCTACTGCCTCTCCCTGTGATTCTCCCGTTGTCGGAATGGTAGGGAAGCATATTTGGGAGCTTGGCTAAAGACTGAAATTCAAGTCATTTGTGCATCTTGTGCCTGCCTGCTTGTTTCTCCACAGCTGGGGTACCGGAGGCTGACACAGCCGGTTCTTCCTCAGAGGCCTGTGACTTCTGTAAGGAAGATGGGAGTGATGAGGTGATGACCCCCAGTAGACACCGGACCACGGAAGACCTTTTTGCAGCTATTCACAGGTATCCAAAACTCCTTCCTCTTTTTTTGCACCTACTTTATGAGTCCCCCTTTCCAAATCGTTTCTCGATGTATTTTTCTTTCTTGAGGTTTCTGCTGTCACCCAGTTAGGCTTCATTAACCTGATTATTGATTTCTTGGTTTGTTTCTGTATTTTTATTTGCCTTGACTCCAATTTCTGTTTTACTTAGTTCCACTGATTTTTATGATCATATGGGGGACAGAGGCTCAACGTGATGATGCCATTTGGTTGGCCCTTCTCTTACTAGCAAGAAATGCAGTGTCGCTGTATTTGATTGGATATTTACAGGAGTTGGGTTAGAGTAGCCAGTGGTCCAGTCTAGGATGAGGGATGCTGTGTTCTAATGGACTTAAAATGCACAGAGTAGCCGTACGGGACTTCTTCTTTCCTAACAGTGTTTGGTTTTATTGCTGTTATTATTTAAATTTTACAGAAAAACTAGGATTTTATAGTGTAATATCTTTGGCTACTTAAATGTTTCAGTAAAAGTGCATCTTTTTCAAGCAGGAGCAAAAGGAATTAAACTTGTTTGTTACTATATACTGCTAGTGCCATCTACTGGCATAAGAAATTATTGGGTTTAAAAAAATGTAGAGTAAAATTTTCAGAATAACTGCTTGAACTGTTGTACTCTTTACATGTGATCACCTTGGAGAATGAATATGACTTAGCACTAAAGTTTTATTTACTATCTCATTTTTCTGGCCATAAACAGTTGAGTACTCCCACAACGGTTTCATTGTAAAAATGGATATGATTGTGTTCGTGCAAGGACTTTAAACTATATGCTGTATAAACCCTTTACTTCCTTCTAAAATTCCTTACCATAGTATTTTCAGATAACTCTTATGAATGCCCCTGTGCTGCCAAGGTCCCTGAATCAAGGTCCCTTTTTTTTCCTCCTGAAACTAAACATCCTGTAAAATCATTTGATTCTCTGTGTAAGTAACCTGTGTCAGCAGTGCTTTCCCAATTCTTGGAATCTAACTGAAAAGACTGTTATTGCATGAGATGGAAAGCAGAGGCTGTGCAGTCCCTACCTGCGATTCCTCGTGCAACATGTAAACATCTAACTTAGGGGGGAAAAAACCAAGCTGATGAATTAAGGTGTTTGTCAAGAATTATGTTCTTTAACTCTTGACTCCACTACTGGTATAATGTCCCAATAGACTCTAAAGACTGCCTTTTTAACATTGTCTGACTGCTCTCTGTGCTCTCATTAGAAATAAAAAGGTAGCTAGTGATCACATTATTCCTCCAAATAGGGAAATAAAAATTCCACATCCTTTGAAAGCAACTTCGGTGACATGTCTAGAGGTTTACGCTGATGTTTCTAACTCGAGTCATGCTGGACACCTAACGAGCTCTCAATGACTGTGTAACTGTCAGGAAATTCTTCCAAGGATCAACTTCTCCCGTTCTGTATGGGATGCATTGGGTTGCTAAATATGCAGGCATATATATTTAAAACAGCATCCACAGAGCAGATGTGTTGCCTGGTTGCTCTGTGCACTGAATACTTGGTCTCAGAGAGAACCCCAACTGTTGTGGGGCCACATTACTACACACTTTTCCTAACAAGATACCAAGGATCTCCTCTGTATTTTATTGTGGCAACCTTCTTAAGGCACTAAAAGACTGTGGTTTCTCCTACCAACGAGTTACATCTGCTGCAGATGCAGAAATTGGCCAGTCTGTATTGTTCCGACAGAAGGAAAGACTGAGTAGGGTATGGATTACAGAGTGAGAGTAAGGATGCAGGCTAATTTTTAGTAGATGGATGGAAGGATAGATAGATAGATAGATAGATGCAGGCTAATTTTTAGTAGATGGATGGAAGGATAGATAGATAGATAGATAGATGCAGGCTAATTTTTAGTAGATGGATGGATGGATAGATAGGCAGATAGATAGATAGATGCAGGCTAATTTTTAGTAGATGGATGGATAGATAGATGCAGGCTAATTTTTAGTAGATGGAGTTATAGATATAGATAATATATTAGCAGACATAATAGGAAGCCATCTAAAGTCTGTGATTTTTAGGGCTTTATTTTATATCCTTAAGTACCTAAGCTAATAATCTAAATTAAAGAATATCTAAATTGAAACACAGCTTTCAAATTTTATAATGCAAATTAATTCACTTCAGATTTAAAGCCAGATGGAAAATGTAGAACACCAGTTGAGGTGTGAAGTTTTTATCTTTATTGAAGTAATTAATTTTTTTAAATTTTTTTGAAGTAATTAGTTTTTAAGCCAGTGTTAATTGTTCAAGCATTTTTTATAGCCATTTTCCTTAGAAATACACACACACACATATTTATAGTCTGTGTGTATATATATACATACATATATGCAGAGAATTCATATATTTAGTTTTAATTCTCATTTTAGTGGGCAGTTACTCTTGAAAAACAACAATACTTTTATAAATTCCCGACAGTTAAAGGTTGTAGCTTTAATCAAGCATAGCTATGGCTTGTTATGTGGATCTCAGCACACCTTCTCCATTTAAAAGCCAAACAGAAAAGCCACATTTAAAAGCCACAAACCAATACCTACAAGAATCAGATGAGCAGAGATGTCTTTGGGAAGCAAACAGTATAAATTGTGAGGTCATGTGCTCTACTGGAAAGGTACTCCATCAGGTCTTACTTCTTGTATTAAGCTGTATGACTTCACTCTCTAGACCTCGAACACCTTCTCTGGTCAGACCAAACCGCCTAAATGTTTTCCATTTCTGAAATTCTGAGGTGTTATTGTTTCTGTGGCTTTTGTCAGTGGGTCAGCAACTTAACTCCAGAGCAACGCTCTTGTTGACAGTGGAATAGAACTGTTGAACCAAAGTATCATAGGCCAGTCTCTGCTGTCCTAAAGGGGCTGGTGCTATGTCAGCCCTGGCCACCCCCTTCAGCCTCTTAATTGGGTTTTTACCACTTCCTGTCTTCCATTTTAGTGGCTTCTTTTTGGCCAGAGCACAGAGAGGACCCTGGGAGCACCAAGCCCAGGGCAGCCATCACGGGCCCATCCTCCCCTGTGCCTCGATGTGCAGGACAGGTAAAAACAGCACTGAAGCCTGAGCTGATAGCAGGAAGGAAGAATTATATTTCCCTAAATGACACTGAAAGGCTTGCTAGGCACCTACTCTATGCCTGACACTTTATGGCTATGACTGCATTTATCTTTATTGATAAGCTCTGAACTGTCTGCTGTTATTCCTCTTTTCCAGACAGGAACCAGGATCAGAAAGTGTAACATGCCCCAGTTTACAGAGCAAGGAAGCTTTAGCAGTGGGTGTACCCAGGTCTGTGTGACTCCAGAGGTCCTTTATCTCATTGAATCCTCACAAACCTGTGAGGTTGTTATCATCATCCACATTTTACAAGTCTGGAAAACTTGTAAATAGATGAGTAACTGGTCCAGGGTCACACAGCTAGAAGTTGCTCAGATTCAACTCTTAATCTCTGTGTTCAGACAGCATCCTCTCAACCTTTGCCTGTTGCATGTTCTAGAATTTTATAGCAGAAAAAGAGGTATAACCACATCTTTAGTAAATATATCAAGTTTCCTTATAGCCAGTCCACCTGCACTTAGCTGAGAGATTCCTCCCACACTGAGTTGTTGGTATGAAGAGACCTGCAAGGGGCCACTTGGCACATCTGCTTTATTTTCTCCAATGCATTCTCAGCAGAAGACACATTGAGCCAGGAGATTCTTAGAGACTGGGTATAAGAAATTCCCCCAGGACAATTTTACTTTTCCTGAAGGCTCCTCCTCTTTCACATGCTACCCACATCCCTCACGTTTGCTTGCTCGGCTAGTGGTTCTCTGCAGTCAGCCAACAGGATCTGATGTGGAAGGTTCACTCTTACTTTCCAGAAAATTGGATTTCTAGGAGTTGACGAATGGTCCAGTAAGAGCCAAGGAGAGCTGGTTTTATGCCAAACTCTAGAATGATGGAGAGTGTAAAGTTGCAGAGTTGTTCTAGAACCTGAGGTGGGGGCCTGTCTCAGTATGTGGGACATTCTAGGAGTTGGCTTATCTATTAGGCCAGTGGTCCCCAACCTTTTTGGCACCAGGGACCAGTTTCGTGGAAGACGGTTTTTCCACGGGGTGGGGTGGGGGGGGAGGATGGCTCAGGTGGTAATGAGAGCGATGGGGAGCAACAGATGAAGCTTCGCTCGCTCGCTCGCCCGCCGCTCACCTCCTGCTGTGCGGCCCGCTTCCTGACAGGCCCCGCTACCCCGCGGCCCGGGGATTGGAGACCCCTGTATTAGGCCATTCGAGTGCCAGCACCATGAAATTCACTCAGCCTCAGCCCCATAAGAAGAGTTAAGTAAGAAATGGCAATGATTAAAAACGTTGGAAATGGTCCTATCCAAAGTAAGATAATATGATGTTTGAGATTTGTTTCAGAGTAATCCAGTGAGGGTAGAAATGAAAACAGGGTGGCCATAAGTTAATAATTATCACAGCTGGGGCATGGGCACACATAGTAATACAATGAACTATTCTTTGTGCCTGGGTGTTTGGTACTTTCCATAGTGAAAATAATAGATGGTGACCTTAATGTGCGGTGAGAGAAGCAGGGTGGATGTGGTGGGCATCCAGTGGCCCACCGGGAATTAACCTTCATCTTAACGTTCTGAAATCTCAGGTCTAAGAGGAAAGTCCTTGGCCGTAAAGATTCCGATGATGATCACTCCCGAAACCATTCTCCCTCCCCGCCAGTGACACCCACTGGTGCTGCCCCCAGCCTGGCCTCCCAGAAGCAAGTGGGATCGATTCAGAGAAGCATCCGGAAGACCAGCACCAGCAGTGACAACTTCAAAGCTCTGCTGCTGAAAAAAGGGAGTCGGTCAGACACCAGTGCCCGCATGTCCGCAGCCGAGATGCTCAAGAACACAGACCCCAGATTCCAGAGGTCAAAGTCGGAGCCTTCGCCAGACACCCCCGAGAGCCCATCAAGCTGCTCCCCGAGCAAGAACAGAAGGGCCCAGGAGGAGTGGGCCAAGAACGAAGGCTCGATGCCTCGGAGTCTGTCCTTTTCTGGCCCCAGGTACGGCCGCAGCCGAACTCCACCTTCCGCCGCCAGCAGCCGGTACAGCGTGCGGAACCGGATCCAGAGCAGCCCCATGACCGTCATCTCCGAGGGCGAAGGGGAAGCCACGGAGCCCGTAGACAGCAGGGCTCTCCGGCCCCTGGGCACTCTGAGGGGACGTTCGCTGGAAGCACTGGTGGGGGATGGAGTGGGTGAGGGCAGCCTGCTCTGTGCAGGGCAGCCCGCTGCCTCGCGGGGGGCGCAGGCTCCTGGCCCCACCGAGGGGCGGCCCAGCGCAGAGGGCACGGGTCCATCAGAACAGCGTGGAGGTCCCCAGAGGGAAGAGAGCTAAGGGCAAGAACCTCCCAGGTGACGTGGGGAGATGTGCAGCACATCACTCTGGGAAGCCTGACAGGTACCCTTCCCTGCCTTGTCCTTGGATCCCGCTCAGCATCTGTGCTGTGGGCCCGGCACGGCCGGCCCCGCAGCGGAAAGGGAGGGCTATTTAGGACTCACTTGGCACTTGCCCTGTGGCTTAAAAGCAAGTAGAAGCTTAACTTCTAAAAGTGCTTCCTGGGGAAGATTTTTTTTCTTTTTTCCTCTAAATGCTGGGTGTGTGTGCAGGGATGTGTATGTGTGTGCATTTGGAACACTTTTTATGTTAAAAAAAAATACAAACAGCATGTACAGAAATAGGAGAGACAGCGTTAAGCTAGGTAGAGTAATGGAGCCTTCTGAGCAAGGTGGTAACTGCTTTAAAAGTATTACGTTTATGGAAATTAGTGAGTTCCAGAAGGGAGAGGACCATTACTTCTGAGAAAGAGGGGGTAGATTTGCTGGTTCTGAACGCACAGAACGGGTGGGGATGTGCACAGGTGTGCTTTCAAGGGGAGCCATGTAGTGGTTACCCCCAAAAGTTAGTAAGGGGCTAAGTGACTCATTGGTTCAGGTACTTTTTTCTGGGGAAAAAAGGCTTTGTTTCTTTTTTGTAAAAATGACAGATACGTGGACATGGCAACGCTGTAACTCGGAGTCTGCTGCTGTGCAGCCACAGACACACAACTTCTAGCCTGGTTTGTAGAAATGTAGGTAATTTTTTAATGACTTTCCTCCTTGAGCAGCAGCTGAGACCTCCTTGGAGAGCTGAAATGACAGTGGCACATACAGAGAGGGTAACAGAGATGAGAAAGGGGAGAGGAGTAAGTGATACACTGCTGGAATTTGTTTCCTGCTTATTAAATGAAATTATTTTTCAGAATTAAATTTTAAAACTTGCACTACAGAACTGTGGGTGGAGCCTTTCCTTTTACAACTTTTTTTTTTTTAAACCAGAGTTTAAACCTCCATTTGACGATTTCTTATCACTTGAAACGTCAACATCTGCTAACTTTTGGATATCCTTCTGGTTACACCAAAGAAAACGTTAATGCTATTTTTCCTTGAACTGCCTGCCGTATCGTGTCCTCACTTAGAAAGGTTTATCAAAATCTATTCTATATTATCTTACTTTGAAGAAAATGCTGAAGAGCTCTTTTTGGTCAAATAAACTGATAAAAATTGGCAGGCCTTGGCTCTTAATTAGCCCTGGGAAATGAATTTTTAGATTAAAAAGATTTTTTGCATCATTTGGTTTGTGTGTTTTTATATTTTTTACAAGTAGTTGAGTTCACGAATTACCTTCTAATCTTCTCCGGTTAGAATTTTAACACTTTTAGACATGGAAGAAAAGTGTGTAAAGTATTTATTTTTATGTGATATTCTTGTGACCACTTCCAACTGCCATGTACATAGACTCCTTTATTTGTTGGTTAAATAAAATCAGTCTTGTCTTCATCAGAAGGACGTAAGATGAGAGTACTGGGATTATTAGCCTAAGTACAGTGCAGCTGCCAATTATCATCTTTTTTGGTATGAAAATATCATCTAAAAGTTGGACTGCACAGGCCCAACCATCACAAGGTTTATACAGTAAAACATTAGGTACCCATTTTAGACACGTCTTTGAGACAAAAACAAACCTAAAGAATTGAGACTCCTTCCATCCTCTGAAGAAAACAAAACACGTCTTTTCACACAACCAGAAATCAAGACCTGACATTTGGCCAAGAGCAAAAGGACTTTCTACCACTTGGAGCAAAGCGTCTGCTACATTGGGCGCAAGAATCTTTCCTCCTAAATTTTAGAAAAGTGGCATTGGCTTTTGAATATGAAATCTTTTCATAGCTACCTAAAAAGGATGAGAATGTACGTGGATATCAGAAAACAAATTTAATATATAAATCATTTATGTTGAAGGTAAGATAAGCACCCTCAAAACTAATTATAACGCTTTTTTTAAAATCCCCATTTTTAAAGGAAAAATATATTAAGTTTTTTAATTTGCTTTGAATAAAACAATTGTAAAGTAAACATTTGAACCTTTTTTGTTCTTGCTGTTTGTACGTGCATCTTTGAATGGTGAGCTAGGTCTTCTGGTTACAGAACTGCTGAGTGCTTCACTGGATACGAACAGGATGGCAGTGATGACCAGAAGGTGCCTGTGGGAAGTGGGGACCCAACAGAGAGGAAATAGACCATCACAGACACTGTGGGTGGTGCCGTCCAAAAGGACCTAGGGAAAAGCAACTCTAAGAGGTGTCCTATGGACTTTTGAATAAAATCCCAGTAAGGTATCGACGGAGAGTTCAGGTGATGTGACGTGTAGAGAGATGCGAGAACTTCTCACAGCATGGTTGAAATATAGGGAGACAAGGATCTAGACTTACCCCGGCAACGCATGGCACCTTCAGCTTTGCTACTTTGTGGGGCTCGATACTGTTAATGCCCCATATGTACTTAAAAACTCCATGAGGACAGACTTATTGACTCTTCCCTATAGCCTGAGACTTTAAAGCCCCAGGGCTAAGCTATTTCCACCTTGTTTTTCTAAGAGTTGGGAGAGAAACAGATGACCATTTGGTCTGTTGGTTGGAAGCAGCCTCAACTTTCACCTCATTTCTGCCCTCCTATTTCTGAAAAATGTTGATTGAAACCATTGCTTCTCCTGTGGGGATGAGAGCGTATTTGGGGAATCACAAGGACAAGGAAAGAAAAGGAGACATGTCTGTTTCTCGATCTTATTTCCCATCCACCAGCACCACGCCCAGCTCTGGGGTGGGTGTCCCAGGAGGACAGGGGAAACACAGGATTAGTTTTCTGCATTAATGTGTTTTCAGCACATAAATTGAATTTGAACAATTGTTTATATTGCTGGGGTGCCATCATGAAATGGGTACAATAGGATAATTTCGCAGACATTAGGATATTGTTGGGCGGGTAGGGGGAAGGAGGGTCTTTCGAATAAAACATGGACCCGATTCTTGAGGTTCTGTAATAAGCTATTCAGTTACTATAACATAGTTTCTTTCAGTGAGCTGCCCTAAACTGCCTTCCACACAGGCCAGCCTTCATTCACAGAACAAGAACTAGAGCAATCTGTAGTCACTTGTTCAGCATTGAAAAAAAAAAAAGCCTTTTATTAAATACTTCTCATGTGCTAGGTAAGGAAGAGAGAGTTCTAAGAAAAATGTGGATGAGAGATCATTAAGGTGCTTCCAGCCTGGTGAAGAAGACACACAGTGAACTGTCAGAGTAGACGAAAAGGAAGAACCCTGGGCAGACGTTGCTGCGTGCCCTCCCGCACCGTGTGAGTTCCCCTTTACCAACAGAACACCTGATCAGTCAGCCAGTGCAATGGGGAACTCTGGGGAAAAGATCACTTACCTAAGGAGTCCTGTGGTGGACAGAAACAGCTAGGTCCTTTACCACTGCCTCACTTGGTCTTCGGCAAGAGACTAGCAATGCACCAAGTAACATACTAGTACCGCCCACCCCACCAGCTCCCACAATCCAACGGGCCATGTGGCACGGTTTTGGCCAGTGAGACTGGCAACAGTCTAGGAGTTGCCAAGAGAGTTGCTTTCCTTATGTAGGTGCCATCCCCTTCCTCCTTTTATCCCTAGAGTGGGTGGGAGGCTGGAGGAGGAACAGTACTCTTGAAACCTTTGAGGCACCAATAAGGACGGAAGAAGCCACATGTTGTGGAAGGCGGAGGAGAAAGGAGCCTGGTCCATTGATGACAGCCAGAGTCACTGCACCAGCCTCGGGCTGTCTACCTCCAGACCCACTGGGTAAGTCATTTGTCACCTGCTTTGCAGTTGAGTGGTACTGTTCTCAGAGGAAGATAAGAGAGGGATTGGCTATGGTGAACCTGAGCTAAGAGTGTACGAATGAGGGGGATTTTGCCGGACACGGGAAGCTGGCAAACGAAAGACACTCCAAACGGAGGGGATAGCATGAGCAGAGGCACAGAAGCAAAGTGTTTAGAGGAAACCAAGGAGCTAAAATAGGAAGTCTCTAGAAAGACAAAGTGGGACATGAGACTGGAAAGGTCACCTCAGGCAAGAATGTAGAGGGCCTGGGATGTCATCCCAGGTAATTTGGGTTATGCTTGTAGTACTGGGAAACAATGAAGGTTTTTAAGAAGGGGAATGACGTGACCTGCCTGGGGTCTTAGCCTTTTCTCAAGCTACTCTCTCCCTTGGTAACTGCATCTAATCCCATAGCGTTACATTAATGTAAGATATACCCGTCACTCCTGAGTGTCTCCTGTCCTGACTTCGTCAGTATATCAGTTGCCTACTCAGAATCTGCATTTAGAGGTGTTTTAAACTTAAATATATCCAAGCCTTTATCAATGGGCGTTACCACTCACACAGTGGCTCAGGCCCCAAGTCTAGGCTCATCCTTCTGGCCTCTCTTTTCACCCCACATCTAAACCAGAAGCAAGTCGTGTCAACAATATTGCCAAAATATATCACAAATCCAATCACTTCTCCTCAGTTCCACTGCCACCTCTCAGGTCCAAACTATTATCTCAGACTACTGCAGAAGCCTCCCAACTGGTTTTCTTCCCTTTATCATGCATCTTCAACCACCCTCAATTCACCTTACAAAATTGCTTTTAAAAACAATTCAAGCACTCCCCTGCTTGAAACGTTCCAAAGACTAGATGTTACAATTCGAATAGGCTTCTAACTTCTAGCTGTGGCCTGCAAGGCCTTTAAGATCTGCCACTATTCCCCTCACTCAAAAGGTTCGCCTCATTCTTCTTTCTGTGCCCTGATAGACGCTACTTCTGGACTTACAGACTTTATTCTAACTATTGAAAAGAAAGGTGCCTGTGTTTCTATGCTGGTTTAGGTTCCTTAGGAAGGAGACACTGTAACACATTTGAAAGGAAAAGGGAGGAAAGAGAATGGGGCGGGCAGAGCTATCACCCTGTAGTACTGATCAGTCAGCTAGGTCCTTCATCAGTGTCTTGCTTGGTCTTTTGCAAGAGGCCACCCTGAGAAGAGTGTGCCCTCAGTTTCCACAGCTTAGTGAAATCACTGACCACTTATCCTGCCTGCCTTGAGAAATAGCATGGCCTCAGCTTGACAGCTAAGGTGGACCTTTTGAAGCCAATAGTTGGAGGCTGTCAACCATGCACACTTCTTGCAGCTGGATGGCAAGTCTTTTCTTGAGGGGGGATATAATGGCACATCTCCATGCCTGCCACACTCCACCACGTGCACTGTTTGGATCCAGTTCCGCATAAGCATGTGGAGAGCAGCTCTTCCAGGGCTCTGGTGGACCTCTCTTCCTGAGGAGAAATTTTAAAAGAATTTGATAGGACCAACTATAGAACCTTCCAGCAAATAGTCTCCAGGACACAAGTGGCACTCATCGTCCCCCACCTCCACTCTAAATTCCTTTCACCCTCAACTATCACCTCTGTTGGGCTTGGGGCTTTTCCGATGGTGTGAACCAAGCCCTCATTCCAGAGTGTTCTGAAATCCTGGGAGCCAGGGTGGCTGTACTTGCCTGTGGATAGACAATTGGGGAAGGAGTACAAAGGGTGCCCCAAGTGGGCCCTCTATTTCCCCACCTCATGCAACTGTAGGCTTGCCTACAGTTCAGGGTCAGTTGCCCCTGACAAGATGGTGACTCTTCTTGCCTGCCTGCCAGTCCCTGGATACAAAAAGACCAGAGTGCCCAGCTGAAAGCAGTAGGTTGAAGTTCAATGGAACCCTTGCTATGTTGCCAATGGGGAGTGTACACCTCTGAGAACAAGGACCTCTGGCTCTGCAGAGCCCAGAGTTGTGGGGTGGAAAGTCCTACATCCCTAGTGGTTCATTGGGAGTGACTGATGACAAGTGAGGTCACTCCTCCTTCTACCCCTTGGTTCCCAGATCCACGTGTCCTTCCTATTACAGACACGGCACCATATAGGTTCTCTGATTTAGTAAGTGTACTGTGTTTGGGAGATGGCGCCCCATCTTGGCAGGGTATTGCCTCCAGCCAGGCACTAAAGCAAGTCATTCCAATATGCTATCAGGCCAGCAGCTTCTAGGTGGTGCAGTATGTCAGAGAACCAGTGGGTCCTGCGGCCATGAGCTAACTCTCCCTGATTGGATGTTATGATGTGTAGATCACACGTTCTGTAAATCCACGCCAGCGGATCAGAGACTTTGTAAGTTTCTAGACTGTGGTGCTGGGCAAGGCCCTGTGAGCAGGAAAGAAAGCTGCATACCCAGAATAGGTGTTAACCCTCGTGCCAATGAATTGCTGGCCTGCCAGGAACGAATGAGTCTAATATACTCAACTTGGTATCAAATGACAAGTCAGGCTTCCGACAGCCTTACCAGGGTCTCAGCATTGGTATGTATTGCTGGCAGGTTGGACATTCAGATTCAGCAGTATCTAGGTTGGCCTTGGTAAGTGGGAGTCTGTATTTTTGGGGGTCCATGCATAGCCTCCATCTTTGCCACCACGGCCACTATATTTGTGTGCCCATTGTACCAGCCCTGGGGTGGGCACCAACAAGAGCTAATACCAACGGGCAAAGTCATTTCGTCTACCTGGTTGTTTAGTGCCTCTTCCAGTGGGTACTTTCTAGTGGGCCTTAACATATGATACGGTTTTTCAGGCTCTGTGCCCGTTCCCAGATGTCTAACCATATGCCTCTACCCGCAGACCTTGTCTCAATTCCATTCTTTTTCTTTTCAAACTCCTGACCAGTTGGACAAGCCATTGGCCACTGCCAAGATTCCATATCTATTTTAACTTTTCTCTCTCACGAAGTGAGTGACCAGGTCCATCACCAAAAATTCTGCCTTTTTTTTTTGGCAGAAGATTTTTTTTCTCGAAGCTTTCTTTCGACGTCACCCCTGAATGGGGGTGTAATGCAACTGCTGTCCATCTCCAGCTCAGGCCCACATAGTAAGCCAACCCACTGACCAAAAAGCAGGCTCAAGTCCCTGCCCCCCC